ATGACAATCCTTGAGACAGTGCAATGGGTGACCATGAAATCCTATTTTTAAAAGTAGACCATACTAATATATTCAATACAAGGCATGGCAGGGATGGGCAGCTATTCCCTTCCGAGTATGGTCCAGGATAGATAATTTTTTGTTAAAATTCCATCATGAGAATAAACCTACAAGTGAACACCCCATCTTTGCAGCATGTATTGCATGGCCATGGAAATATAAGTCGACATGGCCTTACAGTGCGGATTTGATCTGTTAAAGAATACCTGGTCAAATACCACTCACCACAGGGCGGGATCCAAACAATGAGCAATTATAAAAGGGAAAAGGGCCCTTGAAAAGGAAAAAAAAAACTTACCCAGTCAAAGTCTCATTGAATTCTGAGGAATGGCTATAGATGGAAGATGAGCATATCATGGGTAGTCCACATGCCCAATTGAAGAAGTACCTCCAAGGGATGACAAAGATGAAATGCTATTGAAAAGGTAAGGTGTCCCTACAATGGGCGAAGAGTATACCATATATACATCTTTCCACAATGGCAAAGAGTATACTTTCTTCAGAAGTGGTGCAGTCCCCCATATCAGATCTTAGAATCTGATTCCTCTTAGGGAGTGTCCTTTGGATGCTTTCAAAGGATACTTCTTTCTTTCCCTCCACCAATTCAATGTGGGATTCTAGTTGTTTATATAAGATGCTTCCTTACATATGAAACTTCAATTTGAAAAACAAAACAGCAGAGTGGATACCCGGCATTAGCTATTTCACAGTCTATTAGTGTATGTTGCAATAGAGTTGCATATACCAGTAAGATGTAATGCTCAAAATAATGATCAAGAAATAAGTTCATAAGGACTTGTACTCCTTACTCATATATTCGGAAGCTTTTCAATAATTTCGAGTTTTCAATAAGCAAGGTGCATGAGATATACCAGTAGGGAGATGATACCAAGGAGTTGTATATTTATTTGTGATGTGTGTCTTCGTACATTCCATGGTTCTTTGCTGAACTTGGTATCAAGTCATAATAAGATGTTTTTTTTCTTTTGGACACAATAACATACATTGTGCATGTTATAATTAACTTACATTCCAATTACAATGCCAAAAAGCAACAATATGCTGAAAGGATAATGACTCTTAACATCATAGTATGCTTTTCCAATGTCTTCTGCTATATTTACATGAACCATGGATTCTGTATGTGAACCTAATGGATCATCTGGTTCTTCTGTAACATTTGGAAAAGCGTACGTCCTTCTTATTATTGAACCTTTCTATGTACAAGTTCCACATCCACAATATGCATTAACCCTTTCACTTTGGGCAGGTTAAAGAGCACATGTCATGACCTTTTAGAGAGTTATTTTCAAAATTTTATTAAAGAACTTTACTATTACTTATGCCAATGGAATTGATATCAGAACTTAGTTTATAATTCAAATTTTTACATTATATATGTTTTAGTTTCTTAATTTAAAAGGTGATATCGAGAAAAAATGCTAAATATTAATTTTGATTTGTCACATAGCACCTCCTATTGTCTTATTGTTCAGTTTATATTTTATTATGCCTACCACACAATGTGTACAGTGGTTAATGAATTAGAAACTCAAATTTGAGATAAAGACAAACTAGAATATAAAATAAGAGCATCCTATTTTTCTGATTTGCTGAGATATCAATATATTTAGCCAATCTAGTAGAGTGGATCCTCCCACTGTTCCATTTTTTTGAAACCTCTTGTCTAGCCTCACTACTTCTTTTGAGTAAGTGTTTGCTACCAAGAGAGAGAGAGAGCAGTTTCCTGTGTACATAAATCTGACAGTGATTTGTAAATAGCTTGAGAAAGAAAGTTATGATTTCTCTGAAATAGTTGAAGTGTGAGGACTAAGTTGTTGCTCTGAACAGATAGGAGATTTTTTTAAAGTCATACTTTGCTTGTTTAGAAACTCTTGTAAATTACAGGGGTTTTGTATGCACTAATATGGTAGTTGATAGTTTTCTAAAATGTATGTTTGAAGCCTACAAAAATTAATACCTCTTCACCTTCCACCCGAAAAAATAAACAAGGCTCATGGTGAGGCTTAGCGCGTACAACATGAGCACAAAATCTCATAACATTGTAAGTACTCGAAATCTTTCTATTAGAAGTATTTTTTTTTTATTTATTCTTCTATGTTTTAATAAAAATAACTAAAATTTAAGCATTTATGAACAAATAGTATTTATTGGTTGGTGAATAAGTTTGCTGAAAGGGAAATAAGATTTAGTAACCATGCACACAAATAATATCTTTGTACGCCTATACAGTATACCACTAAATTCCAAACATCCCAGACAGGTGGTCAATACACAAACACTTGACATGTTTATTGGATTGGTTCCAAACCATGTAATAAACATCTTCACAGATTCAAAGTGCAATCTTATTACTCTGGGGAATTCTTATTGTAAACACTGTAAGATATATAAGCCAATAAATTTCACATCGTGTTTTTGAAGCAGAATCATGTTGGTTTATTTCTTCGCATGTGCTTTGTTGCTCTTGAGAGTATCGTATTACATAAACAGTCTAATGACATAATTTGTGATTTGTTGCTTTATTTTCAGTGGATTTCTACTTCAATCGTTGACAGTAAAATATACACAGAAAATAAATGTTAAATGTTTAGCAGTTCAAACTCTCAAGAGAATTACTTTGAATCTTTGTAATAAAGAAAAAAGGGCACAGCTGCTCATTTTATTTCTGATTTTACGACTTTTCATTATACTTTAATGATTTGTCTGCTGGCTGAAGAATCAAATATATTGTTACTGTAGAGGTAATAACAGATAAAAATATAAATTTTTACCAAGAAAATGTTTTATATTTAATTAGGAAGTTTTGAGATTTTTGAGACAAAGAAAAGTATTTTTAATCTAAAGTTAAAATTGATTTTGCAGTTGGACTAGTCGAAAAAATAGATTTAATATAATCATGGACAAATCTTTAATAAAAATACTTCATTAAAAATCTTCTTTTTTGTACACAAACAACATGTAATATTTACTAAAAGTCTGCCAAATTTTGTGAAGATGCACATACTGTATTAAAAGTTATAGTATGAAAACTATAACAAGCACAAACTGGTTACAAGATTGGTCCTTGGGACCGAGCCTGTAGTAAGAGAGTTAAACTGCATAAAATTTGAACTATGAACCTTGCAGATTTACAGAAAGTATTGTGGGATCTTTTTTTTTCTGAAATTCAAATATATTGATGCTGTTTTTCAGTAAAAACAGTGAGTCAGTTAATGCAGTGATTCCCAACTGCTGGTCAACAGAGAAATGTAAATCAGTCCATATGATGGTTTAAAGAAAATTTCAGTTCTTCACATTCAAAAATTGTACAAGGGCTGTGAACAGCCCCCCCCCAAAAACTAAAAAACACAAGTAAAGTTAGTTATTATACGTATTATTTATTTTTACTTTTATTATATAGTTAACGTTAAGTAGA